AATAAAATTTCTCTAATTGAGACTATAACAAGATTAACGGTCGTCAGGTTTAAACAATATAAACCTTGTGACGTCATGACAACATTTTAAACTTGTTTTAAATTTTTATAAATCAAATTATTCCAAACCCAAACGATTTTCCATCAGTCAGGACATCTCTTTAATAGAAAACCTTCCGAACAAGCTCTAATAAATAATGTGAAAACCGCATATTGAGGAAGCACAGTGGAAACTGATATACTGATAAGGTTGAGTTCAGTTGTGAAGTTTCACTAATTATCATAGTGTACTGAACATTGACGTAAGTAGCTGCTGCTGAGGATTATTGATATCAATTTGAGGCAGGTATTGTTATAGATATCCAAAACTTACACGTGTCTCTTTTTTTCATTAAATTCAAACTCTGAGGTAATTAAGTTTTAAAGCCGCCTACAACGATTTAGTCCGTTTTCTTATTGAATAAAAGAGGTGATACAATTTGCAGCACAACGGTAACAGAAGTGCACTAGAATGTCAAATGTATCGGGTTTACCTCCGTGTACGTACAGTGGGGAATCGGAAACTGAATATACTAAATTAACGGCTAAAATTCGACAAAGTTGGTGCATCACCTGTGTACGTTTGGTTAGGTAACACTGTTTAGTGAAATAAAACAAAATAAGTTTAGAAATCAGCAAGTCCTGATAAGTCTGTAAATCATATGACTAAACAAAATTAAACAAACAAACAAAACAAAAACAAGGAAAGAAAAGGGAGAGAGAATAGAATAAAGAAAATAAAAAAACCGCAAAAATTGCCAGAGAAGCCCTCAGTCTATTACGACGGGTATGTCGTGAAGTCGTGATAGTCCACATACATTTTTCGACTTTGGAAATGTTAGTCACGTGATGTAAATATGGTCAAGTACAACAGACAAAAGCTTCTATATCGAATCTCTGATAAACAGGAAAGCTTTTCTTTAACCGGAATCTAAGTATGTTTTTTGATATAGTTAGAGTGAAATTTTAAGATGGAGATCAACTGGACAACTTTTATTCACACGCAAAATAGTTGTTGTATATGAAGATTGGGGAAATCCTTTGCGTGCTTCCTACTCTTACAGTATCTGGTGTGTGATAATGAAAGCTGTCTGACGTAGAAATCTACTATAAAGATATGGACAATTATCGATGGAGCTGGTCAGCTTACCAACAGTTGAGAGACCTACATGTAAAACACTCGTGACAACATCACGGGATATCTTTATAATCATACAAATGTTATTCGTGGAAGGAGGAAGCGCGCAGATAATAAGGCTTTCTATACCAAGTCGAGATTATCTCGTGAGCGAGATATAACAAGTCGAGATTATCTCGTCAGTGAGATATAACAAGCCGAGATTATCTCGTGAGTGAGATAGGACAAGTCGACATTATATCTTGAGTGAGATAGGACAAGTCAAGATTATCTCGTGAGTGAGATAGGACAAGTCGAGATTATCTCGTGAGTGAGATAGGACAAGTCGAGATTATCTCGTCAGTGAGATATAACAAGTCGAGATTATCTCGTGAGTGAGATAGGACAAGTTGAGATTATCTCGTCAGTGAGATATAACAAGTCGAGATTATCTCGTGAGTGAGATATAACAACTCGAGATTATCTCCTGAGTGAGATAGAACAAGTCGAGATTACATCGTCAGTGAGATATAACAAGTCGAGATTATCTCGTGAGCGAGATATAACAAGTCGAGATTATCTCGTGAGTGAGATAGGACAAGTCAAGATTATCTCGTCAGTGAGATATAACAAGTCGAGATTATCTCGTGAGTGAGATAGGACAAGTCTAGATTATCTCGTCAGTGAGATATAACAAGTCGAGATAATCTCGTCAGTGAGATATATCAAGTCGAGATTATCTCGTGAGATTATTTCGTGAGTGAGATATAACAAGTCGAGATTATATCGTGAGTGAGATATAACAAGTCGAGATTATATCGTCAGTGAGATAGGACAAGTCGAGATTATCTCGTGAGTGAGATATAACAAGTCGAGATTATCTCGTGAGTGAGATATAACAAGTCGAGATTATCTCGTGAGCGAGATATAACAAGTCGAGATTATCTCGTGAGTGAGATAGGACAAGTCAAGATTATCTCGTCAGTGAGATAAAACAAGTCGAGATTATCTCGTGAGTGAGATAGGACAAGTCTAGATTATCTCGTCAGTGAGATATAACAAGTCGAGATAATCTCGTCAGTGAGATATATCAAGTCGAGATTATCTCGTGAGATTATTTCGTGAGTGAGATATAACAAGTCGAGATTATATCGTCAGTGAGATAGGACAAGTCGAGATTATCTCGTGAGTGAGATATAACAAGTCGAGATTATCTCGTGAGTGAGATATAACAAGTCGAGATTATCTCGTGAGCGAGATATAACAAGTCGAGATTATCTCGTGAGTGAGATAGGACAAGTCAAGATTATCTCGTCAGTGAGATATAACAAGTCGAGATTATCTCGTGAGCGAGATATAACAAGTCGAGATTATCTCGTCAGTGAGATAGGACAAGTCAAGATTATCTCGTCAGTGAGATATAACAAGTCGAGATTATCTCGTGAGTGAGATAGGACAAGTCTAGATTATCTCGTCAGTGAGATATATCAAGTCGAGATTATCTCGTGAGATTATCTCGTGAGTGAGATATAACAAGTCGAGATTATATCGTCAGTGAGATAGGACAAGTCGAGATTATCTCGTCAGTGAGATATAACAAGTCGAGATTATCTCGTGAGTGAGATAGGACAAGTCGAGATTATCTCGTGAGTGAGATAGGACAAGTCGAGATTATCTCGTGAGTGAGATATATCAAGTCGAGATTATCTCGTCAGTGAGATATAACATGTCGAGATTATCTCGTCAGTGAGATAGGACAAGTCAAGATTATCTCGTCAGTGAGATATATCAAGTCGAGATTATCTCGTGAGATTATTTCGTGAGTGAGATATAACAAGTCGAGATTATATCGTCAGTGAGATAGGACAAGTCGAGATTATCTCGTGAGTGAGATATAACAAGTCGAGATTATCTCGTGAGTGAGATATAACAAGTCGAGATTATCTCGTGAGCGAGATATAACAAGTCGAGATTATCTCGTGAGTGAGATAGGACAAGTCAAGATTATCTCGTCAGTGAGATATAACAAGTCGAGATTATCTCGTGAGCGAGATATAACAAGTCGAGATTATCTCGTCAGTGAGATAGGACAAGTCAAGATTATCTCGTCAGTGAGATATAACAAGTCGAGATTATCTCGTGAGTGAGATAGGACAAGTCTAGATTATCTCGTCAGTGAGATATATCAAGTCGAGATTATCTCGTGAGATTATCTCGTGAGTGAGATATAACAAGTCGAGATTATATCGTCAGTGAGATAGGACAAGTCGAGATTATCTCGTCAGTGAGATATAACAAGTCGAGATTATCTCGTGAGTGAGATAGGACAAGTCGAGATTATCTCGTGAGTGAGATAGGACAAGTCGAGATTATCTCGTGAGTGAGATATATCAAGTCGAGATTATCTCGTCAGTGAGATATAACATGTCGAGATTATCTCGTCAGTGAGATAGGACAAGTCAAGATTATCTCGTCAGTGAGATATAACGAGTCGAGATTACCTCGTCGAGATTTGTGGAGATTCAAGACTCAAATAATGAATTCGCTGTCGACAGCGGATAGGAGTATAGAAAAACGAATCGCTTGCAAACTTATGAACATGGTTCTCGGTTATAGACAGTAGACAGACTGCTGTAACTACCATTTAAACAAAGATCCACTTAAGTTAGTACGTTCTGTTATCTTTTCGATGTTTAATTGTTCACGGAAGTGTTAATGTCGACAGGTGTATCTAATGATATGTGATTCACTTGGCCTACATCACTGACTCGTGTTAGTCTGGATAATCTGAAGGTGAAGGGAAACTGAATGACCCGCGGAACATTAACAAAGTCGAGAAAATTATAGACAGTTTTATGCAAGGTAATTGAAACCAGGCCGTCATTGACAAACTAGTCCCTTCGCCAATCAGCAATCTGTGTCCTTAGACTGTTACGGTAAGGAGACACAGAAACAATTATATTGTTTCATATATATTTGTTTTACTCCTTTTTTCAGATTTACATGAAGTGTGTTGAATATCAGTTTTCGACTCTTCAGACTACCTGAGTATAAAGACCACCTTTCTACATAAACCAGGTATACAACTGGAGACTGATATAAACCGACCTTATTTTAGCACGGACTTGGCTGTGTATTGCTGTTAAATGGGTTATTCTAGGACATACTACTTCCAACACGAGGTATTTATCTACAATACAGATACACGGGAATTTACTAACTGGGATCTATTCAGACTGACTCCCAGCCCCTCAGTTAATTTAAAGAATCTGGGATGTCTTCAGACAGACTGACTCCCAGCCCCTCAGTTGATTTAAAGAACCTGGGATCTCTTTAGACTGACTACCAGGTACTCAGTTAATTTTTAAAATCTGGTATGTCTTCAGATTGACAAATTCAATTATTTATTTTTAATTCAAAGAAATGCTCAGCAAACAAAACAGTTCATTAAATTATGAGCCCAAAATTTTAACTTCTAATTTTAGTGTGCCAGTGTAACATCCCTTTAATACGGTTTATGACTAAAAAAAAAACGGTTTCTTAAGGGAAGTGTTTTCTTAAAGTTATTAATTGCTAATTGTAATCACTTATCAAGGAATTAAGTTTTATTGTAACGATAGTGATCTTGCTCTACTCCTACAAAATTTAATATTATAATTATTTTTTCAAATAAAGTTTTATGATCGTTTTATAAGCTGTGAATTACGATACCTGCAATTTATCTGCTTTTAAAAATAGTTTTATAATTTAATGTGTAAGTTAATGTAATATATGAAATATAAAAAAATAATCAATATCACATATGTAAACTTATAAATATAATTTAAGTATATATTAGTTCTTACCTATAACATACTGTAAGTGCAAATGTTCCGCAGTTAATCCGCCCTGAAAGACCACCAGTAACAATCCTGCTGCAACAGATGCTGCGAGCCACGCTGTCTGTATCTGATGCTACTCACTACATGTGTGTGTAGTTTGTTCGCGATCAACACTGACTTCGTCATTAACAAAAACGCCACGTGAGATTCGATCGATCAATACATCCCCTCTCATTTATATCTGACGTAACAAAAACCAGCCAATACTAACTTGAGCATTGATAAATAACTTTTAACAAAGTCTGTTTAAATCCTAAAAAAGATCAAACGAAATTTCGCCATTGGAGGACGTTAAAATACTGCTCAGGTATCGCGGTAATGAAAATATCACATAGAAAACTGTACCTTACACCGTTACAATAAAAATAGGGATTGGTGACATGTACTGAATGTTTCTGGTGGTCCAACTTTACCATATTGGTGACTGTGTTACCTAGTTAGTGTCGGGTTTTATTCTGAAGACACGGTTTGGACGTAGGAAGATTTATCGTAAATATGCGAGACGTTTTCTTTCCCTTAATCTTGAAAATGTAGCCTTGTATTTTTCGATTTACGTCTTCTAGGAAATGAAAATCTGCCTGTATACACTAATGTTATGATATTAGGAAAGATGAACACTTTCATTAAACTAGCAATATATTTTGAATTACAATAAGTCTAACTCGTTTTCTCAGCTCGGAGATCGATGTAACTTTCCAGTATCTATTTACTTACAAGCTTAGATTCAGGACCTGTTTGTTTACCAAATGCTGTAAATGTGTTTTGGGAGAAGGCTTAAATAATGTTGTAGTAACTTGTGCTCAATCCTGAGGCTGATGATTACGACAATAAAATATGTTTGAGTCGAAAAAAAAATGATTGGATGGTTAAAGAGGTTGTTTGAGGTAGGTTGTCTTACGAGTTAACGATTTACGGTCAATACTGGAGACAGACAAATGGTGCCAGCCTGGACAATGTGTGCACATACCACATGTAGCCTCGAGTGTTTCTAAACATGGACACAGAAACCCAAACATATGACACGTAATTCTCGATCAAGTCATTTTTATTTAATCTTCAGAGAAAGATATTTGCCGATCGTAAATGATATAAGAGAGTCCATTCTAAACAAAATTATATAAGGCACATTGCATATTATAATTTCTGATAAAAAATGTCACAGAGTTATTAAGATCGACATTCACCGCTTGCTATCGTCAACAAGATTCACCTAAAATTCTTAAGTAGTATATGGAATTCCCTTATAATAATCTTGGGCTCCCTTATAATACAGTAAAACCCTAAATATTGTGCTCTCTTATGATACAGTAAAACCCAAAGTCTTGGGCTCTCTTATGATACAGTAAAACCCAAAGTCTTGGGCTCTCTTATGATACAGTAAAACCCAAAGTCTTGGGCTCTCTTATGATACAGTAAAACCCAAAGTCTTGGGCTCTCTTATGATACAGTAAAACCTAAAGTCTTGGGCTCTCTTATGATACATCAAAACATGAAATCATGGCCTCGCTTATGATACATTAAGGCGTAAAATCTTGTGCTCCCTGCCGCACTCAAATTATCCAAGAGTTGCGACCTAGACGTTGTCATTCAATAGCAGAAATAGATCCAGTCTTTTTTATATATCACTTATAGTTATACAGAAATGTTATTCACATCTCGAAAAGCGACAAAATGTATTCGCCATGAAGAACTGATAAAAAAACACCAAGAATGCACAAGAAGAGAAATTTGTTAACTGTTTTGTAGGAATTAGAAAAATAGTACAGTTACATGTTCATTAACAGTTCGTTCTGTGTTTTCCATGAAACAACGACAGTGGACCTTTAGATTCCTGATAGCACTTGGTACTAATTAAAAATTGCTTGGGTAGTGAATCAATTTCAGATAATTTCAAATATTTATTGGCATTTTGTGAAGCCTATCGATGTCATGGCTCTGTAATCCATTGAAGGATGACTTAATACAGATTGAACAAACACCATGTCTCTAAATTATAATTTAAATAAAGGAAGGTGAACCGAGGTTTGTACTTAAAAGTCATGACGAAGTAGATGTATGGTAAGGTATGTTACAAACCCGAATAATTAATGTCTGTTTCGGCTTTTATCATCGACTGATCCCCGGCTTAATCAAACCAAGATAATGTCTATACATCGATTGTTTTGTTTTGTTTATTAAGTTTTTATGTTTTATTTATATATATAATATGTACTAGATAAAGGGTATATCTTTCTATTCTCGTTATACAGCAGGGTTTTACAATGGGTATACAATTGAATACCAATGGTAGTCGAAAATAAATGAATTTGCATCAAACAACAACTGTATTGTACCAGTCATTGCTACAAGGGACGGGGTTGTTGATATACAAGAGGCCAAAATAGATACTTATCTATATACAGGAATACACTTAAGTTCAAACCAAAATTTGAAATATTATTTTTTAAATTATATTACAAACACATAATTTTAATGACAACAAATTTTACGGACGCCGACTGTCCGGATTCCTGCCTTTATTGACATAGGACGCTTACTGACATCTTAATGTACCGGACACCTGGCTCTATTGACAACTGACATTACTGTACGTAAGGCTTTGTTGACAACTGACTTTCCTGCACACCTTCTGTACCAGACACCTGACTTTGTTGATAACTGACTTTCCTGCACACCTGACTTTGTTGATAACTGACTTTCCTGCACACCTTCTGTACTAGATACCTGACTTTGTTGACAACTGACTTTCCTGCACACCTTCTGTACTAGACATCTGACTTTGTTGACAACTGACTTTCCTGCACACCTTCTGTACCAGACACCTGACTTTGTTGATAACTGACTTTCCTGCACACATGGCTTTGTTGATAACTGACTTTCCTGCACACCTTCTGTACTAGATACCTGACTTTGTTGACAACTGACTTTCCTTCACACCTTCTGTACTAGACACCTGACTTTGTTGACAACTGCCTTTCCTGCACACATGACTTTGTTGACAACTGACTTTCCTGCACACATGGCTTTGTTGACAACTGACTTCCCTGCACACATGGCTTTGTTGACAACTGACTTTTCTACAACATGGCTTTGTTGACAACTGACTTTTCTACACACATGACTTTGTTGACAACTGACTTTCCTGCACACCTTCTGTACTAGACACCTGACTTTGTTGACAACTGACTTTCCTGCACACCTTCTGTACTAGATACCTGACTTTGTTGATAACTGACTTTCCTGCACACCTTCTGTACTAGATACCTGACTTTGTTGATAACTGACTTTCCTGCACACCTTCTGTACCAGACACTTGACTTTGTTGATAACTGACTTTCCTGCACACATGGCTTTGTTGACAACTGACTTCCCTGCACACATGGCTTTGTTGACAACTGACTTTTCTACAACATGGCTTTGTTGACAATTGACTTTTCTACACACATGGCTTTGTTGACAACTGACTTTCCTGCACACCTTCTGTACTAGATAACTGACTTTGTTGATAACTGACTTTCCTGCACTCCTTCTGTACTAGACACCTGACTTTGTTGACAACTGACTTTCCTGCACACCTTCTGTACTAGATACCTGACTTTGTTGACAACTGACTTTCCTGCACACCTTCTGTGCTAGACACCTGACTTTGTTGACAACTGACTTTCCTGCACACCTTCTGTACTAGACATCTGACTTTGTCGACAACTGACTTTCCTGCACACCTTCTGTACTAGACACCTGACTTTGTTGACAACTGACTTTCCTGCACACCTTCTGTACTAGATACCTGAATTTGTTGACAACTGACTTTCCTGCACACCTTCTGTGCTAGACACCTGACTTTGTTGAAAACTGATTTTCCTGCACAACTTCTGTACTAGACACCTGACTTTGTCGACAACTGACTTTCCTGCACACATTCTGTACTAGACACCTGACTTTGTTGACAACTGACTTTTCTACACACCTTCTGTACTAGACACCTGAATTTGTTGACAACTGACTTTCCTGCACACCTTCTGTGCTAGACACCTGACTTTGTTGAAAACTGATTTTCCTGCACAACTTCTGTACTAGACACCTGACTTTGTCGACAACTGACTTTCCTGCACACATTCTGTACTAGACACCTGACTTTGTTGACAACTGACTTTTCTACACACCTTCTGTACTAGACAACTGACTTTGTTGACAAGCGACTTTTCTACACACATGGCTTTGTTGACAACTGACTTTTCTACAACATGGCTTTGTTGACAACTGACTTTTCTACAACATGGCTTTGTTGACAACTGACTTTTCTACACATGGCTTTGTTTACAACTGACTTTTCTACACACCTGACTTTGTTGACAACTGACTTTTCTACACACATGGCTTTGTTGATAACTGACTTTTCTACACACATGACTTTGTTGACAACTGACTTTCCTGCACACCTTCTGTACAAGATACCTGACTTTGTTGACAACTGACTTTCCTGCACACCTTCTGTACTAGACACCTGACTTTGTTGACAACTGACTTTTCTACACACATGGCTTTGTTGATAACTGCCTTTCCTGCACACATGGCTTTGTTGATAACTGACTTTTCTACACACATTCTGTACTAGACAACTGACTTTGTTGACAAGTGACTTTTCTACACACATGGCTTTGTTGATAACTGACTTTTCTACACACCTGACTTTGTTGACAACTGACTTTTCTACACGCATGACTTTGTTGACAACTGACTTTCCTGCACACATGACTTTGTTGATAACTGACTTTCCTGCACACATGGCTTTGTTGATAACTGACTTTCCTGCACACCTTCTGTACTAGACACCTGACTTTGTTGACAACTGACTTTCCTGCACACCTTCTATACTAGACACATGGCTTTGTTGACAACTGACTTTTCTACACACATGACTTTGTTGACAAGTGACTTTTCTACACACCTTCTGTACTAGACAACTGACTTTTCTACACACATTC